CGGCAGCTGAGGCCCCACACGTGGCGCAGGCGCAGTGTCCGCGATTCGCCATGCCGACTGTCAGCGTGAAGCGAGACCTGCTCTTCCAAGCTCTGGGCCGGACCTACAGTGAGTGCCCGCCCCGTAGCCTGGGCTCGGTGCCTGGGGGAAGCCCGGCTGGCCCGGCAGAAGGGCGTGCTGGCGGCGTTTGGCCTTGCCCGGCAGGAGTCTGCGGGGGCGCCGATGGGCGAGGACGCCGGCCTGGGCTGAAGCGGCTTCTCGGAACCGGCTCTGCAGTTGCATCATCCGCCGGTGTCGGGATCTCCGTGTCATTCATTCATTCAGAGGCAGCTCCCACTGCTTGCCTGGCACCGACTGTGGTGTCGGGACGCAGACTAGGAAGGATGCTCTGGGTTGCATCACCAGTGTAGGCAGCTCGGTGGGACCAGATTGACAGCGAAGGGAAGTGGTTGAGAAAGATGCGGGTTTCACTGTGCATCCCAGGCTGCCTTCGAACCCGCCGTCTGCAGCTTCTTGAGGGCTGGGATAGCAAGCGTGTGCCACCAACTCCGGCATTCGCTTTATTTAGTGTTGACTGAGTTCCCGTTGCGTGCCAGGCACTGTGAGAGAATAGAGCCGTGCATATGACACGTTAAGATCTCATTTTGGCGAGACAGGAACAAACCAGGACGTTAATAAGACGGATTATTGGGAATGCTAAGTGTTTTCTAGGAAGGGAAGCCAGGTGGTGTGCCGAGCAGCATTTGATAGGTAACATTAATTTGAGAATCAAATAGAGAGTGTCGCCTATGGGTTAGTATTCTCGATACACTTAATCTCTTCCCCAGTTCCAAAACTAAACTGCGGGAGGAGGGGGAAAGGGAGGTAAATATCAAGCAAATTATCATTTTCTACACAGATGTAGTAATTGAAATGATATCTGCTCCACCCTGTAATTATCAGCTTGTATAAAGATTATAACAAGTGATTTATGAGAGCCCTTTTGGGAGGGGGTATTAGTTGTATTTAATGATGTATTTAGCAAGAGGTAAGCGGCTGCTCATTAGAACATTGTACTGACACTGCAAATAAAATTTTGAAATTTTTTTCCAAAGATGTACGCTTAGATGTAACCCATTCTTTGTTAATCTTCCTTTAGTTGTTCATAGAATTGTTGTTGTTGTTGCTCTTTTGAGACAGAACCTTATTCTGTAGTCCAGGCTGGCTTTAAACTTTGGCCATCCCTCTGACTCAGTCTCCCAAGTGATATGATGAGAGTTGTGAGCAGGAACTGTCCCAAGGCCTTAGAAATAGAGCACATAGTTTTGCCTTTGGAACGTGGCTCTCATTTCTTACCCACTTTATATTATATAATATACTTATTTATATGCCTCACCCATACCATATTCTCTCTAGTGGTGTTTGCTGTGTCTGAACTGCACAAGGTGCTGTGTGGCATGTTTAACAGGTTTATAGTCAGTTCTCAGCCAGGTCCTTATCTCCAGGAAAGTAAGAGATTATCTTCATTTTAAGGGATAATGGGACTTATAACCTGTTTGTTTTTATCCGATAATATTTTAATAAATTCTGTCTCCTTTTTCTCCCCACTTTCAAATGACAATTGATCAAATAAGCGTGATTTTTCCACACAGATAGTTAACTATAAGATGTTTTGAAATTCTTTACCCTTAATACTGATGTTACTGAGATATTCATCAGCTGGGTTGGTGATACTCTTCAGTGTGTTCTTTCTTGAAACCTTTCTTTTTAAGTAATTGAGTGGTGGTTGAGGTTGGAAAAGCTCCTTCATCAAAACATGGAGTTTCCAAATAAAGTGTGGATCCCACGTTTCTTTTTCATTTCCTTCTTTTTCCTGCTTTCAGATAATGTGTCCTTTCTGCTCTTACATCCATCTTATTTAGACCCTCCTAGGGTTGCTGTCCATTTGAAATCCCATTGTTATTTCCAGGTGCCACTGTCACTTTCCATGTCTTGTTAGGGAGCACATTTCTCTCTCCTTTCTGTTACTCAGGGCATTTGTTTCCTCTGTCTTCCTGGGAACAACTGTCTTCTTAGTCTCTGTTTTGATTGCCTTTCTGTTCAGTTGTTTTCTTTTGCTACTCATTTTCCTGTGAACTGGTTTCTTATCATTGCTCTTCAGTTTGGTCCCTGTTTGGTATAGTAGTACTGCCAGAGCCATCTGTGGGCCCCACCAGCAGATAGTGTTTTAGGTCTACCATTTTATTGGAGGAAATTACTCATGATTTTATTATTGGTTCTTTTGTCTTTTAAAAATATATGTAGTTTAAAGGAATAAGGCATAATTTAGGCTCTGTATATTTTAATAGAGCCATACAATTCATTTCATTGTTGTTTAGCCAACAAAAGTTTTGTATATTATAGCAGTAATTGTTCATTTTTTAGTTTTTGATGGTCCAGAATCAAGGTTTGATGGTCCTGGTCTAAATCTTACTCCAGATTGCAGATCTTACTCCAGATTGTAGTCAACTCAAGAGCTCACTGGGGCTGGAGAAGCTGCTTCTAAGTTGTTGGGTTTTTTTTGTTTTGTTTTTTTTTTTCCTTCTTCCCTTCCTTCTGTTAATCTTTCTTCCCCCTTTCTTTCTTTTCTTTCTCTCTCTCTTTCTTTCTTTCTCTCCCTCTCTTTCTCTTTCTTTCTTTCTTTCTTTCTTTCTTTCTTTCTTTCTTTCTTTCTTAGTTTTCTTTTGGTTTTGGTTTTTTGGGACAGGACTCCTCTGTGTGGCCTGGCTGTCCTGTAACTCCCTCTGTAGACCAGGCTGGTTCCCTAACTCATAAGAAATCCATCTGTCTCTGCCATGAGTGCTGGGATTAAAGGCATGCACCACCACCACACATCTAAGTCTTTTTTTAATTATTATTATTATTTAGGCTTACCCATTTTATTTTATATGTATAAAATGTCTTGCTGTGCACCACATACATGTCTGGTGCTGTGGATGCAAGAAGAAGGCATTAAATCCCTTGGAACTTGAGTTACAGTTGATTGTAAGCCATCATGTGAGTTCTGGAAATCCAACCTGGGTCTTCTGCAAGACCAAAGAGTGCTCTAAACTCCTGAGCCATCTCTCCCATCCCTAAGTTCTCTTAAGCAGGCCTAGTTTACCTGCTGACCTTTGACCAGGGCTTTGGTTCCTTCTGCCTTGGCTTTTGTCAATTTGTTCCAGAAGGAGAGAACTCTGGAGAACAGGTAAATTGGAGAGCTCGAGTAGTATTCTCAATGATTGTTAATTGCTCAGAAGTGCTATTCCACCCTTTTCTATCTTTTCTTGTTCACACGGACCAGTCCTGACCTGGTTTGAAAGGGGACTAGATAAGCAGTTAGGTGTCATTGGTGTCATAGTCTCTCCGCCAACCACCAAATGCTTCATGTTCATCCACATGCAAAATATATTTGGCCCAGAACTGTCATCTTGCAGCAGCAGCTCAAAGTCCACAGTCACATCATCCAAATATGGTCTGAGGTGGATGAGGGTCTGGGGATGTAGTTTTTTGAGTTTAGCTTCTTGTGATGAGTTAACTAGTGACCTGAGAAGCTTGAGCACTGGGTAGGTGTCTCTCATACATCTAAGATGCCATAGAGGACAGGCCTGGGGTAACTGCTAAAGGGAAGAAAATGGAGCTCACAAAGGAGCCACTGGTCCATGGCAGTTCTGAAATCGAATGGCAAATGCTGGATGGTCTTGATTAGGTCTCGGGCCTGGGATAATTCTCCATGGCTCTGCCTTGCCCTCTGGGCTCTGGTTCCACCCTCTGAGTGATCCCCAGGAAGCATGTGCTTCACAGCTGATTAGTTTTCTCAGTCTACTTCCTGTTAATAGAATTTTAGGGGCTCAAAGACTTCCTTTTGTCTTGTTTCCGCCCCCTTTCAGTTCAAGCCTTCAATGTCTCTGCCTAAGTGTTTTTTCTAAAAACTTTCTGGGTCTTTGGTGAATTTTTGCTGGATTCCTTTTCATTAAAAACCACAGACTCCAAAAATCTCTGAAATTAGCTGTTTCAGTACTTTGGACTTTTTCATACAGTGCTCTTAATTACACTTTATTGTTTTATTAATTGGATTTGTGAGGAACACCCTTTATTTCTTTTTTACACCTTTTGTTTGCATGAATTGTGCCTTTGATCTGACTGGAGGTTTTCAGGCATACCCTTGATTCTATCTTGTTAAGTCTAGGATTTGGTCTCTGCCCAGAACTTACTTCATTTTAGCATTGCTTTACATTCGGAAGGCAAAACTTTTTAACCCATCAACATCCTGGCTCTTTTTTGTTTAATAGCTCTTCCTAGGTCAGTCTCTTTTTACATAAGTGGTAAAATAAAACTAGTCGACAAACAGGCTGCTCTTTGAGCGCTGATTAGACATCTTAGTTTTGTCAGGTAAGTACATTTGCTTCAGTCCCTGTACCTGCAGGAATGGTACTGATCACATTTCTCCCTTATGTAACAGGGATACCCTTCTATTTTCCTGCAATACTACCTCACTTTCCTCCCTGCCTTCCCCTGTATCCTGATTCAAGACCGTGAGGCTTCAGCTAATAGTGTTTTTGAGGCCCTCCCCTTGGGTTTTCTTAAGTAGGTTTTCCTCAAAGCCTGCTGACTCCAAAGTCATTCCCCCAGTTTTGGTTATAGTACCACTCCCTTTACAGAGGCTAAGATTTGTATTAGTAATCTGTTGCTACCTAACAGATTATCCCAGTTCTTAGGAGTAGAATACAATATGCTTTTGTTGCTTCCCACAATGTCTGAGGGACAGGAATCAGAGTAGGGTAGCTGGGTGGTTCTGGCTCTAGGGCTCTTGCTGGGTTGCAAGCAGGCTGTCAGCTAGAACTGTAGTTGCCTCAAGGATTGGCTGAGCCTGAGCATCTGCTTCCTAGCTCACTCAGATGATTGCATCATATGTAAGTTCACACACAGGCAGGATCATTGCAGGCCATGTTGGAGGTTAGCTACCTCAGTTACTTCATACACAAGTTAATGATGGCATCACCCTTTTCACCTGAGCCAGAGAGCT